CCAAGAGCCCATTGGGATGATAAATTTAGTATTGCGGGACAATCAAGCATCTCCTCATCTTATATGCATGGGAGCTCTATTGCAGAAATTACATCCAGTCCTACATTTCCAAGGAATCAGCTTCAAACACAACATCTGTTTAGTGTGCCTGGAGCAGGTCCATCTACACAGGCAACATTACCTGGTATTGCCAGCAGACATTCACCTTCCAACCTTGCTCAATCTCAAGGTACTTCTCAGCAGATTTTTATCAACCCTGGTGGTCAACAATTCCCTGTTCTTGAAGCTGTGCCAGCATCTCAGTCTCCTTATATGTCAGGCATGCCTGCACGGGGTGGAGCTTCAGTGAGGCCACAGGGTTTATGGACAAATAACCCAAGTCAGCAACATCTTTCTGGTATGGAAACTCAAAAGGTTTCTTTGATAAATCATGATAGCATGGATACTACTCCGTTGGCTTCAGAGCTAAATAGTCTAAACACTCAAGAAGGTGGATATAGGTCATCGGAATTTGGTGCCTCTTCTATGAATTTACAAGGCTTCATTTCTTCAGAAGAGCAGCAAGGGAAAGAGAGGGCCCAGAAGTCACTGTCATCTGGAATGCTTGATGCATCACAGACAGGGGTAAGGAATGTCTCTGATCCAAGAGCTTTGGCCTCTGGCTCATTGTTGAATCCCTCTGCAAGAAATCTTGGATTTTTTGGCCATGCTTTAAAATCTTCACATGGCTTTCATCAAAATTACTCCCCGCTGCGCCAAGTGCAGGCAATAATGAATGTAGAGACTGATCCAAGTGGGAGGGATCTGGATGAACAACAGGTAACTGCTGTGGCAGGGCAGCAGTCAACTTATGGTCATAACAAGGATGATGAACTGAGTTCAGCATCAGCTCTCAAGTCATCGCCACATGGAAATTCCAAAGCACCAAGTTTCTTGACTGATGCAAGAGAAGATCCAAGTGTAAAAACTTCTTCACCATCTGCTTTCCAAGCCCAAGGCATGGTTGCATTTGGTGAAAGTGATTCCCAGAGTCAATCTACTGGTAATACTGTGTTATCTAATCATGCAGAAACTTCTTGGGGTAATTTACGCATGGCACCCAACTGGTTTAAGCAGTATGGGACTTTCAGAAATGGGCAGATGCCACCAATGTATGATGCAAGGCTTGCACGGACTGCTGCAGGGCAGTTCTCTCTTGTGAAGCCTTCACAGAGTCTGAACATACATTCTCCCGTGGAACAGATGGATGCTTCTGATGCTAGTCAAAGCAGCAGAGTCTGGCCAAGTACAGCTGCCAATTTAGTGGGAAGTGAACCGTTAGCTCCTTCTGTGTTGCCTTCAGATGCCATTGATGGAAATACGGCTAGTGTTAGACCAAAGAAACGCAAAATTGCAACATATGAACTTCTACCATGGCACAAAGTGACACAAGGGTCCAAAAGAGTTCAAGATATCAGGTATTTTGTTATTGCCCATTTCTTTGCTTTTATGTCAATCTTGGTGTGTAGTGTAGAAGATGAGTTACTTCTGATTAGATATTCTTATCAATCTTCTCAAAGACTGATCTTTTTTACCCACTGAAGTGCACAGCTGACCCTTTTCGCATCTGTCGCTTGAATGCAAGAAAAAAATGTTATCTTATTTTAGTCTAATTTCTTCTTAAATTTCTCTGTTCTTGTACATATACCCAGCATACACACTCCTTGGGTCGTTTTCTGCTCATGTTTGTTAACTTTTGGAGTGCCCTTGTTTATGCAGTATGTCAGAGCAAGACTGGGCACTGGCATCCAATCGGCTGATTGAGAAAGTGAGCTTTTAGTTAAACAGATCATACATTGCAATTCATTTCTACTTTAAAATTTCATCCAGATACTCGGATCCAAGTGGTTATAATATCATTCATTTTTAATGGCAGGTTGGGGATGAGTTTGAAATGTTTGAAGATGGGCATCAAATCCTTCGATCTAAGAGAAGGCTTATTTTCACAACACAGCTTATGCAGCATTTGCTTGGCCCTGCACCCGCATCCATTCTCTCAGCAGATGCTGCTCTGTACTATGATAGTGTGGTATATTTTGTTGCTAAATTATCATTAGGGGATGCATGCAGCCTGACCTGCAGCAAAAGAAACAGTGCTCATATGCCACCAAACGACGGTAATATGTAAGTGTCATCTTCATGGTTTTTTGAAAAATTGGGAGAGGACTTGTAATCCGATTTGAAGTTTACAAAAAATACTTGTAGTTGAAACTGTATGCCTCGAGGATTTGGCCTTCTAAGAAGTAATTTCTGTGTAAATGATTTGTAGGATTCTGGAAAGGCTTAAGTTTTCTGAGAGCATTGATGACCAGTACTTTTCAAAAGCTGTTGGAGACTTCACAAATAGATCGAAAAAGCTGGAAAATGACTTACTGAGGTATGGCAAAGTTTTCCCTTCCCGAAATCCTTTTGACATTTCTGGTAACTACACTGTGTCATACTGCCTTCGTCGGGGGATAAATGGCAGAAAAATGTTTCTTGGAACCAACTTTAAGCAGTTGGACTAAGCCTCCGCTAGAAGTTTACCGGGGTACTCGTACATTTTTGCCCAATGTAATCACCTATCCATTCCCAAGGTTCCGGACCAAAAGAAAAAAACTATATTCCCAAGGGTAAAATAAATATTCTGTGTTTTTCGATTCAGAAAAACGTAGTGTGAGAATTGGATAACCTTTAAAATTCTGCCTAGATAATTTTTCAGAATCGATACCTTTTGTATATATGCATTGAGCCATATAGTTAAATTTCTCTTATCTCATGATATCTTTTAATGTTGCAGGTTAGACAGGATGGCATCAATTTTAGATTTAAGGCTGGAATGTCAGGAGTTGGAAAGATTTTCAGTCATCAACCGGTTTGCCAGGTTCCATGTCCCCCGAGCAGATATGTCTGCAATCTCTTCTTCATCTGGTACAGTACCAACTGCACCAAGACCATGTCCCCAGCGATATGTCACTGGACAGCCACTGCCGAGGAATCTACCCGAGGGGGTACAGTGTCTTTCACTGTGATTATCATGATTGATCCTCTACCCAACTGAATCCTCTTCTCTTTTCATCTATATTTGCATTCCGTATCCCGCTCATGCACCGGTCTATGATCACTTTTTACTGACATATATGCTGGCATTGAAGAAGGAAGATGGAATGCAGGAAGTGGTCGAACCCAAGTAACGAAGGCTGCTCGTTCATTTTTGAACCAACACCTATTGTTGTCATTTTTGGGAAAGTACATATTGTTCTTTTGTATATTTTGATGAAGTTCCAAGGAGAATAGGTAGTACCTGAAGTAGCAGGAGGACCGTTGGTGTGCACGTGTCTCTAGTTGCCTAAGTTGTTGCATAAATTAGTTTAATTTAGCATACCTAATTTATACAGGAATATCTGGTGGCTAAGAGCACTGTAGTATTTCCTCATCTCTTTCTTCCCCCTCCACTTTTTTCCCTTTTTGTCTGTTTACAGGTCTTTTGCTGCATAAAAGCTGTGCTGGCTGAACTGGAGAGTTGGGATGTTTGAGGGGCAAAGCAAATTAGTTAGTCAAATTGAATAATATTCTGGAAAAAAGGTACAGTTTGGTTGTAATTTTATATTCCAACAGATGCTTTTATTTTTACTCTGGAGACTCCACCGCAAATATGGGAGAGTTTTTAAAAGTTTCTGACTGTGCCCCCTTGCCCCTTAATGATAATATCTTTTCATTGGTCACGTGTCTTCCCATGTTGATGATACCTTGACTTGGATTACAATTTCTATTGGGGAGCACAAAATCTCTCTGAAAAGGTTGCCCGAAGCTTCCAATTCCATGACAACTTTTTCTGTTGTTTGGTTTGAAAAGTACAAGGTTTCAAGTTTGAAGATTTTGATTTGATTCTGTGTCCCTCAAATGTCATAAAGCGTTGCATATGCGTATGCTTAAGATGGAGTAAAAGACAAGACAAGACAAGGAAAGGCTTTTATTAATTATAGTGCAGAGGACAAAAACTAAACAAAAAGGTGTGGAATGGTGTAGGATTGGATTCTGAGTACTTGCCTGTTTGTCTTCCATTGGAAAATTGACTGAAAGCAGCAGCCACTGACACGTCAGACAGTTTGTGATCCTCCTCGTCCCTCTAACTTAACTAACTTAACTAACTTAACTAACCTGGTGTCCACCCTGTCTGCATCAGAATCTGATCCATTCATGATTGGAAAGTGATGTGAAAACTGAGAAAATCCTAAACAAGGAGAAAAACGACCCACCAAAGTATTTTTTTTAAATTTTTTGTTTGTTTTGTTTTTCATAAAATGATGATAAAACCTGTGGGGTTACTTGGTTTTGGTTCGGCATGCATATTACGAGGAAGCTTGGATTTGGTGAGCTTCGGTGCTTTGTACGGTACAGGGAGATCACTGTTGACTGCTGACAACAACATCGATTTGGTGTTTTTTTGTTTTCTGAAAAGGCAAGCACTTCCCTGTAATTTTACCATCATCACCACAAATCTCCACGTGGGTTTAGGACTTTTTGCCAACTGGAATGTGGGACCCGAATCATCGTGGATCCACCAAATATTTCTTAGGAATGTTGGGATAATTCCTTTTGGCGGTGCACTATATATTTATGTGGTCCTTGGTCCTTGACCGGTATTTTTATTGTTACATAAAAAGGCTTTGTTGGTCCAATAAATAAAAAGAAAAATTACTCGAAATTAGTTTTCCTTTTTCAACATAGGAATTCTGTTGTCCTAGCTTGGCTAGGAATTCCTTGTTTTGTAGGAAAAAAGAAAACCCTATGAGACTAGGATTACTTTTCACATCCCACATTATAAAACCTACCATTCACCCCATTAGAACAACAATACACACAAATCTCAAACAAGACTTCAAGAAAAGACATTAGAAGCATAACACAATATACACAAATCTCACACAAGACTTCAACAAAAGCTATAGCCTCTCTCTCTCTCTCTCCCCCTCTCAACCATGCAAAAGACCAAGCAAAAGAAGGATTGGGATAAGGGGTTTTGCAACGATAATGGGTTTTGTTCCGACTGCAAGGCATACACAGACGTTGTGCTCGACCACCGGTCAGGTGACACAATCTGCACCCAATGCGGCCTGGTTCTTGAAGACCACGCTGTGGATTTCACAGCCGAGTGGCGAAACTTTGATGATCAAGACTCTACCAACGATCCGTCACGCGTCGGCGCTCGCTCTGATCCTTTACTGGACAATGGTGTTCTTACCGTTAACATCTCCAACGACAAGAAGAAGGCTGTTTCTTGTGTTCTTCCTCGGCTCCACAAGACTCTCCAAAACCCAGACAAGTCTCTCCACGTTGCTTTTGAGACCCTTGGTATGATGGCCGACCGGCTAGCCCTAGTTACAGCGATACGAGATCATGCCAAAGAGCTGTACAAGAAGGCCGACGATCGCAAGTTTTGTAGGGGAAGAAACTGTGATGCTATAATGGCTGCTTGCCTCTTTCTTGCTTGCCAAGAAAAGGGTCTTCCCCGAACCCTAAAGGAAATCGCGATGGTTGCCAACGGTGCCACAAGAAAAGAAATCAACAGAATGAAAGAGCTCTTGAAGAAAATACTAGAGGTTGATTCGAAGACTACAAATGTTGGGGATCTTTCGCGGCGGTGCTGCTCCATGATTGGTATGGCTAATCAAGATATGAAGGCGGTGTTGGAAACTCTGAACAAGTCGAAAGAGGTTGATGTAAGGAGAAGCCCTAAGTCTGTTTTGGCAGCGGTTATGTACATGATAGCGCAGCTCTCCAATGACAAGTCAACTCGGGATTTAACTCTTCATGGTACATAACTCAAACTAATTAATCTCTCCAATTTTCATACATATCCTGTTTAATTTTTGACAATTTGGTTAATTTTCATGCATATTTTGTTTAATTTGGTTTCAATGATTTCTGTAATCTCTTAATTAATAAGCATATATATAATTAATTTAAATCCAATTAATTTATTAGTTCCAAATTAATGTCGTGTCATGTTTTTAATTTGGTAATCTTGAAGCATTAAGAGGACTTATTGATCATATTGCAACATTTTAATTTGAAAATTTGATATTTGTATGCATGGATTTTAACACAGCTGTGTGTGGATATTGCAGATGTCTCACAAGCAGCTGATGTTGCGGTAGCGACAACTAAGAAGGCATACAAAGATCTATATCCCTATGTTTCAAGGATAATACCCAATTGGTTTGTCAAGTTGGAGGACCTCAAGATACTTTGCCTCCCTTGAAGGTGTTAGAGCCAATCGATATAACATTGAGGGTAGGCTACTTGGTTAGTCCGACGACATAACCCTTATGTATAGAAATTGCTCGCCTAATCCTCTAGAACATAATCTGATTTTTTCACTTGTTTACTTTTTCCCATCAATACATTATTATTGGGAAGAAAAATGTGGAAGAAAAAAAATTGAGATATTAAACATTTTCCAAATTAAATAAGTTCAGTGGATGCTTTATGCATATTAAATTTGTACAAAAGACCAGAGTTTCAGAGTTTCACTTCGTGTTATTTATCATGACACACGTCTCCATCATTATGATAAACACTTTATTTCTACGAATTATTCTACAACAAAATTCTACAATGGTCAAGTGAACGAAAGGTCCAACTACAATATTTTGAGATCAGTTGGACGAAAGGTCCAACCTTGCAGTTGTCAAGCTCATGGGAACGAAAGATCCAATCTAGCGAGTGATCATGTTTATCGACATAATGTTGTACACAACATCCTACATCAGAAATTCGTCTACATTAGATATTTGTCTACATCAGAATTCAACTCAATCTACAACTTTGAAGTGATTGATATTCAACTCAGCGTCATCAACAATTTTTATGCAACTCCCCAAACAAGACTCTTGTCTGGTGACTTGGGGGACTTCTATTTGTGGGTAAAATTACTCTATGGCCGAGCTTCATATGGATTGGAATTCTATTCAGAGATGGTCTTTTACTTTGAGGCTAATTAGGAAGCCTACTTCTACAAATATTTGATTATCTCCAAGCTATTATATAAAGGCAACTTTCAAATTTGAGAAGGGTTCTTGAAGGCTTTTCTCTTGGTTCCTCCGACGATAACTCAACCCTACTATATTGTTATTTGATCTTGTTCATCATAATTATGCGTGTTATGGGTGTAATTAGGATATGGGTTGTCAAAATCAAACACTTTGTACCTTTGTACTTCTTCATTCAATAGTAAAGATACCCCAACACCCCATGGACATAGCCCGATAATGAATGAACCACGTAAATCTCTTGTGTCGCTTGATTGCATGTTCTTACTTAACTTCTATTTGCAAGTGAAATCCCTAAGCATTAGAACTCGTTCTAAGGGACGGCCTGCTTGGTCATGCCAAGTTGGTTTGGAAGGATTGTTGACCTCCATATCGAAGAGGTCATTTTCTGTTGATCCAATTTTGGGCATCAACAATAAGTATTTTCAACTTTAAGCATTTCATCATAGTAAATGGATTAGTTTGTTCTGGAGTCCTTGAACCATTGGTCCATGAGCTTGGGCCCGGTGCAAATACTAATTTAGCCCAACAAGTTGTTGAGTTCTGTTATTGTCTTTTCTTTAATAGTCATTCAATTAAAGCAAGAGAGCCCAATCACAATCATGGATGGAATATGCAGAACCAAAGGTTCAAAGGGTAATTTTGCAAGACTTCCTAGACAAGGTCTTACTAGGAAAGTTACCGAAGCTCAAGCGACTGTAGCAGCACACTTGTAGCTTTTCAGTCTTCTGGGTAAATACTTCTATGAGGGGTTTGTTTGTTGGTTCGGTCAATACTTTTTTTTTTTGGTTTCTTTTGTTTGTTTTTAGGGGGGGACAAACAGGGGCGGATCCACTAAGGGACCCCTGCCTTTTATTAAATAAAAATTTTGTATTCTCTTATTTTTAATGTTAATCCTCTCTTATTTTTTATGGTTTGCTCTCAAGTTATGGCTTGTTTGAGTTGTGAAATTTTTATTTATAATCTCTATTTGGTTTAATAAATCTTCCAATTTATGTGTGGATTATCAAAAAGAAAAAAGTTGTACAGATTTTTTTATATATGCAATATATAATATTTTGGTAATTTTGGTTACTTTGGTATGCATTGTGAGTTCAAATATATATATATATATATATAAATTACTTCGTCATATAATCACTTCAAGTGGTTTTAAGTGATTTTAAGAAGAAGCATATGAGAAGTGCTTCTCCCTAGAATCACTTTTAAATGATTATATGGAGAAGCATGTTGGATGTGCTTCTCTACCATAAGTCCTTGGTGTTTTTGTTTTATGAAAAAGCATTTCTCTGTCATTTTACAATCTCCATGTGGGTTTAGGACCTTTTGCCAAGTGGAATGTGGGACCCGAATCACCATGGCCTGGAAGTCCATTTTGCCGATTGTAATAACTTGGCCAGGAAGTCCTTGTTTTTGTAGCAAGGTTTATAGAAAGAGAGAACACTACGAGACTAAAATTAATCTTCACATCCCATATAAAAACGTATCTTTCAACCCATTTGAAGCACAATACACACAAATCTCAAACAAGACTCCAACAAAAGCCATTAGAAGCCCAAAACAATATATACAAATCTCAAACAAGACTTCAACAAAAGCTATAGCGTCTCTCTCTCTCTCTCTCTCTCTCTCTCTCTCTCTCTCTCTCTCTCTCTCTCTCTCTCTACCATGGAAAACGACAGTGGGTTTTGTTCAGACTGCAAGGCATACACAGACGTCGTGCTCGACCACCGGTCCGGTGACACAATCTGCACCGAATGCGGACTGGTTCTTGAAGAACGCGCTCGCTCCGACCCTATAACGGACAATGGTGTTCTTACCGTTAACGTTTCGAACGACAACAAGAAGGCTGTTTCTTGTGCTCTTCCTCGACTCCACAAGACTCTCCAAAACCCAGACAAGTCTCTCCACATTGCTTTTGAGTCCCTTGGTGTGATGGCCGACCGGCTAGCACTCGTTGCCACGATACGAGACCATGCCAAAGAGCTGTACAAGAAGGCCGACAATCGCAAGTTTTGTCGGGGAAGAAACTGTGATGCTATAATGGCTGCATGCCTCTTTCTTGCTTGCCAAGAAAAGGGTTTTCCCCGAACTCTAAAGGAAATCGCGACGGTTGCCAATGGTGCCTCAAGAAAAGAAATCAGCAGAATGAAAGAGCTCTTGAAGAAAATACTAGAAGTTGATTCGAAGACTACAAATGTCGGGGATCTTTCACGGCGGTGCTGCTCCAGGATTGGTATGGCGAATCAAGATATGAAGGCTGTGTTGGAGACTCTGAACAAGTCGGAAGAGGTTGATGTAAGGAGAAGCCCTCAGTCTGCTTTGGCAGCGGTTATGTACATGATAGCTCAGCTCTCCAATGACAAGTCAACTCGAGATTTGACTCTTCAAGGTACGTAAGTCAAACTAATTAATTAATCTCTCGAATTTTAATTTCATGCATGTTTTGTCTAATTTGATTTCAATTATTTATTTAATCTTCTTAATTAAGAAGCACATAATTAATTTAAAGCCAGTTTATTACTTAATTAATGTTGTGTCATGTTTTATAATATGGTAATCTTAAAGCATTCAAGAGGGGGCTTATTGATCATATATATTGCAACATTTTAATTTGCAATTTTGATGCTTGATTTGCATGCATGGAGCTGTGTGTGATATTGCAGATGTCTCACAAGCAGCTGATGTTGCGGTAGCGACAACTGAGAAGGCATACAAAGATCTATATCCCTATGCTTCAAGGATAATACCCAACTGGTTTGTCAAGTTGGAGGACCTGAAGAAACTTTGCGTCCCTTGAAGGTGTTAAAGCCAAACGATATAACATTGAAGCTAGCCGTTGACATTGACAAGAGTTTCCTAATTAAATTGTAACAAGTAGTTTTTACGGATACAAGTCTAGGGGGATTGGGGGGTGTTCTATGAGGGGCAAAAGGTTCCCTTTCTTGCTTTGTGGTTGAGAGGGTAGGCTACTTGGTTAGTCCGACGGCCGAACCTTGTGTGTAGAGATTGCTCAGCTAATCCTCTAGAACATAATCCGATTTTTGTACTTGTTTACTTTCTCCCATCAAAAAATTATTCTTGGTTGCTAAAATATGGAAGAGGAAAGTTGAGATATTAAGAATTTTCCAAATTAAATAAGTAATAACAAATTCTGTGGATGCTTAAACATATTAAATTTGTACAAACGACCAGATTTTAGGAAAGCTGGGCCCAAGCCCATTTCACAAAAGACCGCGCTCAAAACCGTTATGGTCCAACAAGAATTGTATAGTAAGATATGGTCAAAAGGTAGGGAAATGAAATCATAGCCCTGCAAGTTGCCAAAAATAAAACCAATAAATCCGTACAGCAGAGAGAAAGGACAAATAATCAACAATTTATTGGCTCAATCCAAAATAATAATAACAATCAAACAATTTAAAAGACTGGTGGGGAATAGAATTATTTGATTCCAATTCAGATCAAAGCATATGAAGACAATGCCTTGACCTATTGACTCTTTGCATAAAAGTGAGTCAATGGCACAAACAAAAGATTGAAAACTATAGCAAAAGAAAGAAAGAAAGAAAGAAAGAAGTCAAGCCACTTGTTTTGGTGATACCGTATCCAGCACAAGGGCATGTAATTCCTTTGATGGAGCTTTCAAGATGCCTAGCCAAACATGGCATCAAGGTCACATTTGTAAATACAGAGCATATTCACATGCAAATGCAAAATGCATTGGCAATGGAGGATGATGACATTGGGAGTAAAGTTCATCTAGTATTTATTACTGATGGGCTAGAATCATTGGAAGATAGGAAAAAACCAGGGAAGCTTTCTGAAGTAATCATGCAGGTTATGCCCCGAACATTCGTGGAGCTTGTTGAACGGATTGTTGGATCAAATGGGGATACAATATCTTGTGTAATTGCTGATCAGAGTCTTGGATGGGCCCTGGAAATAGCAGAGAAAAAGGCGCTCAAGCGAGCTGCTTTCTGCCGAGGAGCGGCTGCACTTTTGGTACTTGGATTCAGCATTCCAAAGCTGATTGATGAAGGAATTATTGGCAATGATGGTGAGTAGTAAGACTATAATCTCTATCTCCAAATTTTTCCTAGTCAGCTGCATGATCATATCACTAGCAAATGAAATATATCTTAGAATGTATATGTAGCAATGTTGGTTTTGCTGTGACAAAATTGGAACATGTTATAAGGACATTGAAATGAATAATAAGCGGCAGGTCTTTACCATGACAAACTTCAATAATACTTCTCTTTGCAGGAACTCCCACAAAGGAACAAGCAATTAAGTTATTATCACCAGATATGCCTGGCATGAACACGGCAAACTTGATGTGGGCATGCCTCGGCAGCAAGGCTTTGCAGAAAAATGTGTTTGAACTTATGGTTAGAAACAACAAATCAATAAAATTAGCAGACTGGTTACCTATGACCTTGAGCCTGCAGATATTCTACCAATAGGTCCACTTTTGGCAAGCAACCATCTCAAAGACTCTGCAGGAAACTTGTGGCAAGGAGACTCTTGTTTAAACTGGCTTGATCAACAACCACCACAATCATTCATATATGTGGCTTTTGGTAGTTTCACAGTTTTTTATCCAAAACAATTCAAAGAACTGGCCTTGGGGCTTGAGCTCTCCAATAGACCATTTTGTGGGTGCTCATACAAAAGTTTCAATAGTTTTGTTCAATGCATGAAAGAATGGGTAAGTTCTTCAAGCATTGGTTTGAAATTTAAATTTACTTCTTGGAAGGAGTTGAGATCAAGCTGGTGTAAACTACAAAAACAGAAACCAAAGCCCAGTTTCCATATTCAACATCTTCAATACTTCCATATTCAAGCTCCAGCAATTATAGAACAAAAATATAAAACAATAAAGTGAAGAAACTAAAGTCATTGACTGAAAGGATCAACAAAACAACATTATAGAGGTTGTTTGATAACCTTTTCATTTTCACTTTTTTGGAAAACTGAAAACATGTTTGGTAACAGATTTCGTTTTTAGTTTTCAAAATCACCCTTATTTTTTAAAACAACTTGAAAGTGTTTTGAGGTTTCAGTTTCATTTTTCTGCACTCCTATTTCATTGATTAATTTCACATCACCACACATAAAATGCACTTTGAGTTACCAAAACTCGGTATTTAGGACCTCTAGACTTGGGCTGGCCGCTCGATTCTTGAGTTTGGCCATGAACCCAATCCAAACCTTGGGAATTCCATATAAAAAATTCACAACAACAAAAAAAAATTCATCTGAATTTGAAAAAATTCGCCCAAAAATACTTTGAATTTTTTCTAACATTCATTTTCATGATCTCAAATTTACAATTTGACCCCAAAAAAAAAAATTGAAATAGTTACAAAACAACTTTTGTTCAGTTGTCAGTTTTGTCTTTTTTTGAAAACTGAAATTTGTTACCAAAAAAGCAATCAACTATGCAATATAAACAAAAGAGACAAAATGGTGGATTCCCCAACGTTGTATACAATGCCAATGAAGACAACACTTAAGCAATGGCTCCACTTTAAGATGTTTTCGAATGTGGTTTCTGAATCATATCATATAATACGTGGGACATTTTCACCTTTAAGTCCTAGTTAGATTTCTAAACCCTCAAAATCAATTGGCAATGGGGGAGTAACTCAACTCCTTATAAGTCCTAGTTAGATTTCTCAACTTTCCAACGTGGGACATTTTCACCTTCACATTCTTACATGTCATCGCACAATAATTTAAAAGTATAGCCGCATTGCAATACTCTATAAATAGAATATTTTAAAAGTACACCCGCGCAGCTATATCCTTTAAATAGCATAATCTTGATTTCTCTTTTTTAATTACTTTATTTAATAGTTATGTTTTAATTATTATTTACTTAGTGATACTTAATACTTAAATTTTTATTAAATAAAATAATTATTAAGTAATATAATTTATGAAGTTAATTAAAATATTTAATCATTCACTAAAGAAATAATAATTAAAACATAATTACTAATGAAAGTATTTAAATAAGAGTACCTCCGTGGGCTATACTTTTTTATTTAAAGAGTATAGTCATGCGACGGTACTCTATAAATAGAATATTTTAGCAGTATAGCCGCAAGGCTATACTATTTAAATAGAATAATTTAAAAGTATAGTCACGCAGTGATACTCTATAAAATACAATATTTTATACAAATAACTGCACGGCTATACCCTTTAAATAGCATAATCTTGATTTCTCTTTTTTAATTACTTTATTTAGTATTTATGTTTTAATTATTATTTACTTAGTGAATACTTAGTATTTAAATAATTTATTAAATAAAATAATTACCATTTATTAAATAATATAGGCAAAATTGTAGCCATGGTCCCTCAAATAAGATGTAACTTTACTTTTCGTACCTCATGTCGCAAAATTGTTACAGTGATGTTTCAATTAGATCTCATGTTGCATCATTAGTCTTTCCGTCAACCGAATTAAATTTTCTGTCAAAATTAAGGGCAAATTGGGAAATTCATATAACCAAGCTGATGTTGTCGCCGACCGTCAAGCCATGGTTTGTAAATTCCTAAACCCAAAACCCAGAAAAAGGAAGGAGAAGAAAGGCTAAATTATTGAAATGCCCCCTGTAACTCAATTTCAGTCTCAGTTTCCCCCCTGAAACTCTAAGTGTCTCACTTTCCCCCATGAAACTCCATATATTGTCTCACTTTGCCGAGATTCCATCTAGCCCTAACAGAAGTCGTCAAATTTGCACACATGAGGCCCATGTGCGGTTTTTCTAGGTTTTTCTATCCCTAGCAAAACAGAGCCACAGTCTCTCTGTTCTATGTGGAACCTCAAGAACCTCACTGATTTCGTAAACCGAAAACCAGCCGTTGTGATACACTTTCCGAAAAAATGACCGACACACCATTGAGCATCAACACGTCTTGGGATCGAGTGATATTGTTTGTAAACCCCATCAGATTAGTCCTCAACACCGTCCCATCATTGAAACTCACCAAATTGCTCCACAAAAGCCCAAAGGGCACCACATGGCGATGAAAGATGGAGGATTGCTCACTCAAGTTCCCAACTTGGTTCATTAAGACTTGGTCAAATGGAGCAAACACAGTCATCATGGTTTGGTACTTGAAGAAAAATCCATGAAATTGCATTTCAAGAAGCGAAGCCATAACGGGGCACCCTTTCGAACTCAGCGCATTCTAAGAACCTGTCAATTCAGAAAATTATCAACAACCCATCATCGAAAATTAGGGAAACAGTGATGGGGACGTTGTTGAGTGAGACTTTGGGGTCGTAGGCCAAAGTGGTGACGGAGAGAGAGCGGTCAGAGAGTAAAGTTGAGATATTGGCGCTGAAAGGTAGGGACTTGAGGGATCGGAGAGAGAAATAAATAAGAATGATGTGGAATTGCAGGAGGTTCAGCGATGGCTGACTGAAGTGAGAGAAAGCGGTGTCGGTAAGAGAAAAAGATTGGGAGAGGAGGAGGGTTTGAGAGGCGAGGTCGATGGTCAAAGCCATGGAGGTGTAGCCGAAATCTGAAAGGATTTCAGCGACGTTGACGAGGGTTTGGGTGGGGAGGGCGAAGGAGAGAGAGAGAACTGAGAGGACGATGAGAGAGAGAAGGAGTTGGGCTGCCGCCATTGTCGGAGGTTGTTCTTCGTTTCTTGGAGTTTGGAGAGGGGTTTGGTTTTGCAAATGAGTCTGGGTGTAGTTGCAGATTCGGAGAGTATCTGAATTTGTAAGGGAAGGTTATTTTGGCGGGTTAAGATTTGACGACTTCTGTTAGGGCTGGATGGAATCTAGGCAAAGTGAGACAATATATGGAGTTTCAGGGGGGAAAGTGAGACACTTAGAGTTTCAGGGAGAAAACTGAGACTGAAATTGAGTTACAAGGGGTATTTCAATAATTTAGCCGAGAAGAAATCCCTAAACCCAAAAATCCAAAATAAGTTAGTTGTAAATTCCTAATTAAGCTCACCCAACAAACATCATCATTTTCAGGGGATTCTTCTTCAATTGATTCTTCCTACAGAACCCGGCCAAAGTAGAAAAAGAAGAAGTTGAGAAAAAGAGTTCTCAAAATAGAAAACAGAGAAATAAGAAAAAACCCTGACGCCAAAAACCACCAGGAGACAGACCAAATTCCACTTCCTGAGATTCCATCATTGTTGTTGATCTCAAAGCAAAAAGAAAATGCAAGCAAAGGCAACGAAATGGAAAGGGTTCTCTCTTTTCCTATTAATCCAATTCGATCTTAGCCTCTCCAAGTTCAGAAGTGAGAGGGCAGGAAAGATCTAGTGATTCTCAACTAGTAGCCCCTTATCTTCAGCCTTGAACTACCTTCCCATGGAAAAGAAGAAGAAAAAAAACCCAATTTATTACTACAAAAAAACTAGATCAACCCTCAGTTTGTTAGATGGGTCCTTCCTCCTTGACCTTGAACTGTGTTGGATTTAGGAAAATATTGTTGAATTTGTCTTGGATTGGGAAAAATTGTTGAATTTGGGGAGGAAAAGAAAAGGTTGAGTGCTCTGAGAATTTTTGGGGATAGGGTGGTGTGCGTAGCGAGGGAGGAGGAGCAAGGTATGGGGTGGTGGGAATGGTGGGTTTGGGTTGCTTAGGTTTAATTTGCCCGGGTGGTAGTTGGGGTGCACCTGGTCCATTCGAAGAGAGACAGGGGGAAAAGAGAGAAATCGGGAGAAAGGATGGTAGACGGAGGTGGTGGTTAGGTAAAAGTCTTATTTACTCCTAAAATATTCATCATGTGCCTAAAATGTGATCAATTTTGACAGAAAAATAAGCAGAATTGATGGAAATGACTAGTGGTGCAATGTGAGATCTAATTGAAACAACACTGTAACAATTTTGCGACCTGAGGGACGAAAAGTAAAGTTGGGTCTTAGTCGAGAGACTATTACTACAATTTTGTCAATAATATAATTTAGGGAGTGTCACTAAAACACCCAAAATGGGGGCTGAAATTATAAAAAAACCAACACCCAAAACCCATCATTACACACACTCAAAATCCATTGACAAACACACCCAAAAAATATACAATTGTTGATTTTGGGTGTATTTCTATGTTTAAATAGTGTTTGGGTTTTTTTTTATAAATACATGTCTAGGATTGGGTTTATTTATAAATTTGTATATAATTTATGAAGTTAATTAAAATATTTAATTATTCACTAAATAAATAATAATTAAAACATAATTACTAATGAAAGTATTTAAATAAGGCTAAGATATTGTTTAATTAATAAAAATAAAATGTGAAAAAAAAAATTTAGTGTAACGCCGCACGGCTATACTGTTCTATTTAAATAATATTGCCATAGGGTTGTACTCTATAAATAGAGTGTTTTAGGCGTATAGCCGTGCGAATATACCCTAGAAATAGAATTTTAAACGTATAGCCGCACGACTATACTCTTTAAATAGCATGATTTCTCTTTTTGATTATTTTATTTGGTAGTTATGTTTTAATTATTATTTACTTAGTGAATACTTAGTATTTAAATA